TATATATATTTTATACTGAAAGAATATTCAACAGAAGAAAATTTTGGTAAACATCTAATCATAATGAGAGAAACCATGTATGAGAATGAGAAGATGCAAGTAGAAATGTATGTCTTATCTTTGTTTCCAAATGGATCTCTCAGACCAGAGTAGTCCTCCAATGTTAATATTCAGGACAAATATAAGATTGTCCATATAAACTCGAGTCTCTAAAAAAAAGAGATCTTAAATTTACAGAGTCTTAAAAGAAGGAGTCCAGGAGTAGGACAGAATATAAGGAAGCATTTTAGTTTATAAACTTCAATCTGGAATTCTCTTTCATACCGATGAGCAAATGTATAAGGGGAGATATATTGGTTCTCATTTAGTATTTACCCCTGTAGACTTATTAATTAGCTAGTGACCAGGAATTTTCTTGGTTCCACACTTTGGTAGTTCATGCATAAATGTATATGTCACTCTAATACAAAAAGTTAATTTGGTCAGAGGGAGGGGGGACATTCCACTTGAGTTGCTTCAAGAAAAATATTTTTTACTGTCATGGAATCTTTGGAAAACTGTGACCATGGTGAATAATGGTTTCTGACCTGCTTTGTAGAAAAATAGCAGAAGTCAAATACAAGTTACTAAGATGCCACCGGAAGTTTTTTATTAGACATAACTTTTATCTAGGTAGATAGCCTTCAATAAATTTTTCCTGAGATTGTATACCATCTCCTGAAACTGATCATAGAGTTTGAAAAATGAGAATTTTCTGGTTAAACAGAATTCTACCTGAATCCATTTGCATTGACACCAGCAATCACTAATTCATTCGTCTTAGCTTCTAATAATCATGAACAAACATTTAGCACTTACTTTGAGCTAGCCCTACATTCTGTTTCAGGCTGCCTACAGAAAGCAATGACTGAGGCAAAAGTTTCTGGGCTGCTACTTTATGAAAGAGTGCAATCCCAGGGAGTAACAGTGAGGGACAAAGGCAATGAGGCAGTGAAGGAGGGAGAGCCAACTAAAGGATGCGTGATGAGGCTGGTCACCTCCAAGTGTAACTGATAACTTAAGCTTACTACACCATCCCTCCCACCCACCCCCCCTCCCCTGCCTGCCAAAGCTTTGTAACTGTATCTCAGGGCAGTCTCTCCAAAAGGAGAAAAGAGAAAAATATTATCCCATTCCATCTAGTGCCCATCTTTCAGTGGTCAAAGATTGCCACAGAGCTCATTACTTACCCCCCACGTTTCTGGGCTGTGCGTGGGTGGGCCCTGAGCAGTGTCCCGCAGCTCCCCCTTCTCAGCATCAAGAGGAAAGACCCAGAGCAGGCAGCAAACCCCCTGAACCAGGTCAGGGAGAGGCGCTGGCAAGGTGTGCCCACGTGAAGTTGATTGCCTTCTAGCCACTGCACCTGCACGGGACTGATCACAGCTGAACAGCGGGAACGCGAAGAGGGGGAGGCAGGGGTGGGGACCTGAAGTGGTATGCTGAGGTGTCTGATCACACTCATCACCTCCTTTAATTCCCCAGCGATGATATGGAGTAGGTGCCCTTATACCCACTTTATATATGAAGAAACAGAAGTTCAGGGAGTCTAAGAAGCTTGCCTAAAAGCACTTAGCTACTAGCACCCTGTAATTAAGAAAGTTTAAGCCCATTCTATTATCATCAAGTGGTCAATTCAGCCAGGACAATATACTGTGTCTTCCATAAACATGAAGATAAAAAACATAAGCATATGATTCTCATTTAGTGAAAAGAGAAATTCTCAACCAGACTTCCCAGCTTTCATTCCTAAGAGTAACTATGACATAGAGCAGACGTCGGGCTCCTGGTCCCCCACCCCCACCCAACTTCTAGTAGTTTAGGACAACATAAATTCTGAAGAGATGTGGGGTGTCTCCCTAAGAATGTTGTAACACAAAGAATTTCACTATAGATGATACTCTGTGTCGTGCGAGTCCTAAGCCCCATAGACGTGGTTAAGTGAAAGCAAGCAGGGCAGCCTGAAGACAGAAGCACCCTGGCCTATATGCCCAATGCTAAAATCATTATTGGCATTAGGGTAAATTTCTCCATTTCCACTTTTCAAAATCTGAAAGGGCAGAGAAAAACACTAAGCAAAGAGAATCTGCAACAGAAGAGGCCATGGGTACCAGGTAAGCAAATTTTGCTGGGCTGAGGACCGTGCAACCGAAAACGAAAAAAATAAAACACTTTCTATCTAAATAAGGACCTTAATGATAAGGGTGACCCAGCAGGTACAGAGATAAGAGGTATGGAGGACAGGGAAAGAAGAAGAATTGTGAGTTGAAGGGATAATGGACTCGACATTAAGCATCTTCAGTCTCCCCAGTAAAGAGTCACGTCATATACTGCAAGGTAAGCTGTGAGTACTTGGAAAACAGGAACCATGTCTATTTTCTCATCCTCAGAGCCCCATCCTGAGCCCCAGATGAGTGCAGGGCACTTGGTTGGTGCTCATTCTTTTATTCTTTCATCCAATAAATATTTATTGAAAAATTCCTATATGCCAGGCACTGCTCTATAGGCTAAAATGTTATGGGCATTGAATAGAGCTGACAAATTTCTTGCCTTCATAGAGTTTACTTTCAAATGAAGACAGGTGTTCAAACTACCAAAAAATAAGCTAATTTTAGGAAGTGTAAGTATTTTTATTATTGAGGTATATTATATTATATTATATTATATTATAAATGTTTCAGGTGTACAACATGGTGATATGACTTTTGTATAAATTGTGAAATGATCACCACAATAGGTCTAGTTATCATCTGTCACCATACAGAGCTAGTACAATATTATTGACTATTTTACATCCCTATGACTTATTTGTTTTATAACTGGAACTTTGTACTTCTTGATCCCCTTCATTCCCACCCACCCCCAAACCTGCTGCCCTCTGGCAACCACCAATCTGTTCTCTGTATCTGGGGGTCTGGGCTTTGTTCTGTTTTATTTGTTTTTTTGTTTTTTAGGTCCCATATAAAAGTAAAATCACACAGTATTTATCTTTTTCTGTCTGATTTATTTCACTTAGCATAATACCCTTCAGGTTTATCCATTTCATTGCAAATGACAAGATTTCATTCTTTTCATGGCTGAATAGTATTCTATTGTGTATTTATACCACATCTTCTTTATCCATTCATCCATCTATGGACACTTAGGTTGTTTCCATATCTTGGCCATGGTAAATAATGCTGCCATGAACATAGAGGTGTGTATGTTTTCTGAATTAGTTTTTTGGTTTTCTTTAGATAGGTACCCAGTAGTGGAGATGTTGGATCATATGGTATTTCTATTTTTAATTTTTTGAGGCAATTCCATACTGTTTTCCCTAGTGACTGCATCAGTTTACATTCCCACCAACAGTGCATAGGCTCCCTTTTCTCTGCATCCACACCAACACATGTTATTTCTTGTCTTTTTGATACTAGCCATTCTGACAGGTGTAAAGTGATATCTTATTGTAGTTTTGACTTGCATTTTTCTGATGATTGGTGATGGTGAGCATCTTTTTATTTGGCTGTTGGCCATCTGGATGTCTTCTTTGGACAAAAATGTCTATTCAGATCTTCCACCCATTTTGTAATTATATTGTTTGTTTGGGGGTCCTTGAGTTATATGAGCTTTTTATATATTTTGGATATTAACCCTTTGTCAAATATATGATTTGCAAATACCTTCTCCTATTCATCACATTGTCTTTTCATTTTGTTGATGGTTTCCTTTGCTGTGCAAAAGCTTTTTGGTTTGACGTAGTCCCGATAGTTAATTTTTGCTTATTTCATTTTGTTTTCCTTGTCTTTAGAATCAGGTCTAAAAAATATTAACAACATCAATGTCAAGGAGCTTACTGCTTATGTTTCATTCTGGGATTTTCGTGGTTTCAGGTCCTACATTCAAGTCTTTAATCCATTTTGAGTTAATTTTTGTATATGGTGTAAGATAGTGGTACAGTTTCCTCTTTTAGCTGTCCAATTTTCTGAATACCATTTATTAAAGAGACTGTTTTATACCCATTGTATAGTCTCGGCTCCTTTGTTATATGATTTTTATCCTAGAATATCCTTGGTTGGAAGTTTTTTCTTTCAGCACTTTTAAATATGTCAAACCACTCCCTTCTGCAAAATTTCTGCTGAGAAATCTGCTGATAGCACTATGGGGTTTCCCTTGTATGTAACAATTTGTTTTTCTCTTACTTCTTTTAAGATTCTCTCCTTATCTTCATCTTTTTACATTTCCATTACAGTGTGTCTTGGTGTAGCTTTCTTTGGGTTCATCTTACTTGGAGCTCTCTGGGCTTCTGGGACCTGGATGTCTATGTTTTCCCTAGATCAGGCAAGTTTCAGCCTGACTTATTTCTTCAAATAAGTTTTCGGTCCATTCCTCTCCCTCTTCTCCTCGTAGGATCCCTATAATGTGAATGTTATTCCACTTGATGTTATTCCAAATGTCCCTTAAGTTATTTTCATATTTTAAACTTACTTTTTTTTTTTTTTTGCTGCTCTGTCTAGGTGAGTTCCATTGCTTTGTCTTCCAGCCCACTGATCTATTCTCTGCTTCATCTAGTCTGCTGTTGAACTCCTCTTGTGTATTTTTCAATTCAGTGATTGTATTCTCAGCATCGTGATGTTTGTTTGGTATTTATGTTTTCTATCTCTTGGTCGAGGTTCTCCTGAGTTTGATGAGCATCTTTTTGACAATTTCTTTGAATTCTTTACAGGCAGATTACTTATCTCCATATCATTAAGGTCTTTTTCTTAAGTTTTGTCTTGTTCTTTCACTTGGAATACATTTCTCTGTTTTATCATTTTTGTTTGACTTTTTATGTCTGTTTCTATATATTAGGTGAAACAGCTACTTCTCTGTCTTGAAGGAATGGCTTTGTATAGGTAATGACACTTATTCAACCTTGCCTTAGTTTTTGGTTGTCTCTCAAACCTTTGTGATTATCTAAACTGCCTGATTGATCTTCATACATCCTTATTGTTGATGATGTGCCAGGACCTGTCAATGTTACAAAGGGAGTGAGCTCAGTCAGTGCTTAGTTTTAGACTGATTGGAAGCCAGACCTTCAGGCAGCAGCTTTTAAAGTATGCAAATATACACAATTATAATCTCTGCTGGCCCCCAGAAAAGGGGATCTGGAGGTGTCCCCTGGGTGAAGTTGCAAAAATCAGGGCTCCAGATGAGTGTATAAGCTCCTTTCTGGGAGGTCTTGTCAAGCTATAGTGAGGCCAACAGGGTGTGCAAGGATGGTGTCTCACTGCTTACATTCTCTGGGAGTGCCTCTTTAGTCTCAGATGTGTGGGAAACCTGAAGCCTGCCCTCAGGCTGAAGCTCCAGGCTAAATAAATAGGCATTTTTCACAGAAGAGCTGGGGGTGTGTTTCAGTCTGCTCTCTGTGCAGTTCCCTCAGTGATAGGGCCTGCCAAAAACTGTCTTTCTGATTGCTACATTCCCATGGAACTCAGGAACACCAGCCCCCTGGGCCACCACAGCCAGGTTTACTCTCCTGTGTGGATTGCACATGCCCACTGGCATTAGTTAGGCAGCTTCAAGAGTGTAGAGGGCAAGCGCGTTACCCAGCTTCAGAAAAGCAACAGGAAAATGTCTTGACTTGGTGCACCCTTGAGCTTCAGGAATGCAGGAGGAGAGTGCCTTGTCTGTGCATGCGCAGTGGCTCTAGGCTGGGAGCAGGAGCAACTGATCACATCCACCCTCCCCAGCCAGGGGGCAGAGGACTGTTGCAACCACCCACACCTCTGGCCTCAGAAAGGCAAAAGGATAGTGCAGTGACCACTCACCCTCGCCCGTCTCAGCAAGACAGCAGGAGGATGCTGTCTGTGTTCAAGCTAGCACATTTATGTTAGCAGAGTAGATGGAGAGTGCAAAATGTGGTGTGACCTGATCGGGTGGAGGCCAGTGGTGTTGGCAATGGAAAAATTCACCCAAGGCAAAGCAAAGAAGACAGAAGTTTATCGAATGCACTGCAGGGGAGTGGCTGGCAGGACAACAAAAGGGATGCTGTCTGCCAGGAGGTGGGGGGGGCGGTAGTTGTAGGGGAGTGTGAGGAGGTATGGGAATGTATAGAATTTTCCTTTTCTGATAACTGGGCCCATTTGTAAGTAGCCCATTGGTCAGCTAGGGCCTATGGATATCTTGAGGTGGGTCGCCTAATAAAGTTGCTTGCACTCAGCCTAGTGGTTACTGTGGGCCCTTCCACCTTACTCAAATTTCCATTGCTCAAGCCTGTTGCCTAAAAGCAACTTCTACACAAAAGTAGTGTCCACCAGTGCCTTTATTTCTGGGGAGAGTTTCAACTGTTCCCTGCCCCTCCAGCAGATGCTCTTAGATTAGCAAATACATGTCCCTCAAATATGGTCAGAACTTTTCACACTGTTTTCTCACCGAGGCTTGGGGCAAGTGAGACCACAGGCAAGCCCTTTAAAAAGGGAGTCTCGGTTTTCTATAGTACTTTGGGTTCCTTGGACATCAGCCTCATTGGTTTCTAAGTCAGACATTTTGGGGATTCATCTATTCAGTGTAGATACCAGGGGCTGGGGTACCGGATGTGAAGCACCAACCCCTTGCTCCTCTGAGAAGCAGCAGACTGATGAGATCCCTCCCGACTGTGTGGCAATGCACTAGGGGTGGGGTTTTGGTAAAACCATGTCTCTACGTACCCTATCATCTCAATATGGTCTTTATGTTTGTTGTGGAGAAGCAGTTTTCAGATCTCTTTTAGAGGGACATGATCCACCTGGAGCTGTAGATCTGGTCTGTCCATGGGAGGAGGTAAGTTCAGGATCTTCCTGCACAGCCATCTTGTGGAAGTCTTTTGACCAATAAGGGTCTAAAAGAAAACATAGTAATTATTTGGTGGACTAAATTGAACTTAAAGAGTTAAGGTTGAAGGGTGTGTAGAATTAACTAGAGGAGATAGAAAAAGGCTTAAAAACTATTTATTGTATGTTTTATTTTATTTATTAATTAATTAATTTATTTTTTAGAGAAGGAAGATGAGGCAGAGGCAGAAGGAGAGGGAGTGAGAGAATCTCAAGCAGACTCCCTACTGAGCGTGGAGCCCGATGCAGGGCTGGATCTCACGACCCTGAGAACATGACCTGAGTCAAAATCAAGAGTCGGACACTTAACTGTCTGAGCCACCCAGGTGTCCCTATCATATGCTTTAAGACATCAACAAAAAATGGAGGTTCAATTTCTCTGAGTTACTGTTTCATTATCTGTAAAATGAAAATGAAATCAACTTCACAAGAGTATTGAAGATGAAAGATTATTGAAGATGAAAGAGACTACATAGGACATTATTTTCTAAAATGAAAAACACTCAACAAATATTAGCTCTTGTTGTGGCCCTCATACTTGCTAGCCATCTTTCACTCTTAAAACATGAATCTATCACTTTTTAGATCTGTAAGAGCTGCTACACATGCACACACACACATACACACACACACTTTTTTTCAGCAGAATATTCCCTCATTTCACATACAAATTTACCTCTATCTCATCACTGATCCCCTTGGAATTTTTTTTAAAAGAAAAATGCAAATATTTCTGCAAATGAATATAACCAGCAGTCAAACAAAGTTTTTTTGATTAAGAAAGTTGCTTCAATAAAGTCAGCCCATCCCGCCTAAGCATAATGATGATTTGAAGGCTACACAAGACACAAGGAAAGATTTCTAGGTTTTGGGAGCTTATTACTTGAAGAAAATTTTCAGTTGTCTTGCAACTCTGTCTTCTTGAGGCTCCATGAAACAAAGAGATAAATAACATTCAGAAATGACAGTTTTATCTTTCATTATTTGTTAAAAGCTTATACATCTTCTAAGAGAGAAAGGGATGTACTAGAAGTCAAAAGTTCAGTTTCACAGATACTGAACAGCATCTGTCTAGAAAAGAAAGTTGAGTCAAAATTTGGATTTGCAAAACAATATTTTGCTTTATGTGGTGTATTTAATAGGTAAATCACTGTATTTATACTCAAAATGCAGCAACCTCTGCTGTCGATTTAACTTACTTCATGGCTAAAGTTTCCAGGGAGAAGTGAAATACATTCTAGGTGTAATTGAGCAGTGTGAAAAACTTGTTAATAATGGACCTCTCTTGATGTGGGGCCCTTAATCCTACTTAAAGTGTTTTTATTATGAGAAGTGATTAAGTACAGAGCACTCATTACATTCACAACATAGTTATTATTTAAATTCAAGTCACTAAAACTGAAATTTATATGTTGAAGGATGACACGGACAAGATCATCCAAGTTTACAACTTGAAATGCCATACATATTTGCCACGGTACACACTTAGTAATTCAACAGATTATTGCTTTCTCCTTTATTTTCCAGGCCTGGCTCAAACATGAAAAGGAAATTTGACCTGCATTTAATGACCAATCTGTTAGCAATTTCGTCACGGTACCTGCATCCTAGTTCGACCCAAATGGAGAACTTGACCAGCACCAGATGCTTCACCCTCGGTTTCATTAGCATGAAAAGGCACGCATGGCAGTTGTTAACAGAGGCTGTTTAAGTAACTATATGTGTAGTTTTTTGTTTTTAAGTTCTCTGTCCTACTCCACAAAAAATTTGAGGCAGAACTAATATAAATCCTATCAATCCCAAAACTGAATCTATGTGAAAAGTACTCCATTCCCTGATACGGTCAGTATGGAATGATTTATGCTTGCCACAGCATTTGCTAAGGAAAACTACAATTAGATGTCACTATTAGATTTTTCTTTTGACTCGTTTCTTGTCTGATTTGCCCATTTGATCTCAGAAGAGATTGCACACCAATTTGACATTGAATTATATTTAAAGAACTTTCATATACATTTGTCGGAGTTGTATATGGACAGTAGAAAAGAGTTAACAATAAGTTTACTACTCCCAACACCATCACTACCCTACCCCATCCCAAAACTTGGAAGGAAGTTTGCCTTCTGTGAGAGAGAGTGTACATAATAAGAATAAAATGGATGCAAGGAGACGGCCCAAAGCATTTGACTATAACCTATCTGAAGTAGTATATGTAAATGGGAGTTAGGTCAGTCACTGAAACCTAAGATAAGAGGCACAGATGTAAATATTTGTCTATTACAGAATTATAAAACTAACCTCCTCTCATGCTTTCCGTTTCTCAAATAACAGGACCAGACAGAAAGCCATAGGTAGGTATCCAGTAAAAACCAGTTCACCTGAGCTTCATTCACTGTAAAGTGATACACTGGTATTCTGTTTTTGCATTTAAAAGGTCTTCTGTGGGGGCGCCTGGGTGGCTCATTTAGTTAAGCATCTGCCTTCAGCTCAGGTCATGATCTCAGGGTCCTGGGATGGAGCCCCAGGTCAGGTTCCCTGCTTAGCGGGGAGTCTGCTTCTCCCTCTCTCTCTGCCACTCCCCCTGCTCATACTCTCTGTCTCTGTCTCTCTCTCAAATAAATACATAAAATCTTTAAAACAAATAAATAAATAAAAATAAATAAAAAGTCTTCTGTGAGCTTTCTTGCCATGAATCAAAGCTGAACTTGACCTGCCCTAAGCCAGTGAAGTTTCTGAGTCAGTCAGGAAGGGGCCAGACCAAGACCACACCACCTTTGTTAACTCTTGAGAAACCGTCAATTTGTTTTCCTGGTGAAAATCTAACTTCACTCTTTAATTTTTCATTCCAGCTTCTACGATGCTTTTATGAAGAAGTAAAAACCTCAGAAAACCAATTTCTTATACTGCCTATGTATTAATCCTAGATCATTTTCAGTAAAATTGACTGTGTCATAAACTGAGGTTCCTGAAATTTTAAAGGTGGTGACCTAGTAAGGAGGGTCATATTTTGAAATAATGACCAGAGTCCTCCAGCATGGCACCGGGACTATGCACCAGGAAAAAGCTGGCATTCTTATTTCTCTAAAATCAATCTGCATCTCACCCCAAAAGTCTGCTTTTCCTACATTGTGTGCAGTTGTCAAGACAATAATAGCAACAACAGTGATCACAACAGCTAATATCTGTGGATCTTTGACATGTGCCAAGCACCTTGATAAGCTTCCTATATATTTAATATACATTTAACATATATATGTATTTATATTCTTTTTTTTTGCAATAATGCTATGATATCAGTATTATTATCTTTCCCATGTTGTAATTAAGGGAATTAAAATTTTCAGTAATTTACCAAATAGTATACAGCTGATGAATGATGAGACTGGAATTTTGGCACAAGTCTTTCCAAATCTATAAACCATGGACCACTACTCTATATACTGCCACCCACAAGTGCATCTACGTCATTCTTGAATCTACTGATAATTCTTCTCGGAAGATTCTTACCACAATGTTTGCAACCATTGTATAAATACTATTCCTATTTATTTACCTTGAAAATTTTTCCTTCAGAAATATTCCCTATTTTTAAAGTTTTGGAAATATTAATAGCACATATCCACAGGTGAGAATATGCAGCAACTATATGAGTAAATAATATTTACTGTGATCTTTTTTTTTTTTTTCCCCAGACTGAAGGCACGTTTCTGATTTGGTTGTGCTACAGGCAGCTTCCTCTAAACTATTCCTGGATCTCTGCAGGCTTTCTTTTTTTTTTTTTTTTTTTTTTTTTTTTTTTTTGTTTGTTTATTTTTTATTTTTTGGTTTAAGGAAGGGAGATTTATTTTTTTTATTTTTTTTTTAAGGTATAGTTTTTTGCTTTATTTATATATTTTTTTTTATTCTTATGTTAATCCCCATACATTACATCATTAGTTCTAGATGAAGTGTTCCATGATTCATTGTTCGTGCACAACACCCAGTGCTCCATGCAGAACGTGCCCTCCTCAATACCCACCACCAGGCCAACCCATCCTCCCACCCCCCTCCCCTCTAGAACCCTCAGTTTGTTTTTCAGAGTCCATCGTCTCTCATGGTTCGTCCACCCCTCCGATTTCCCCCTCTTCATTCCTCCCCTCCCGCTACCTTTCTGCAGGCTTTCTTAATCTGTTCTTTACAGGTGCAGCACTGACCACAACAAAGAACACTGCATATGCAGATAAATCTGCCCTTGAACAATATGTTTTTTCTAATATAGAAAACTGTGAAAATGAGAAAACTTGCAGGCATATGGACACCTCCCTTAAATATTTATAAGGTCATCAATGTAGGACAGGGCTTAGGCTTGCTGTATAAATTACTACAGAGCAGAACAATAACCGCTAGATAGAAAAGGAGATATTCCCACTCAAAAGCAGGAAATTCTTTGTAATAAAATGTTCTAGGAGTTCAGTGGATTTGGCTCCAAGGAACTGGAGGCCTCCAAGCAGAGTTGGAGAACTTCTTTGTATAAATATAAAATCAGAAGCTACACTGTTTCAGGGATGCCTAGGTGGTTCAGTCGTTAAGCATTTGCCTTCGGCTCAGGTCATGATCCCAGGGTCCTGGGATCAAGCCCCGGATCGGGCTCCCTGCTCCACAGGAAGCCTGCTTCTCCCTCTCCCACTCCCCCTGCTTGTGTTCCCTCTCTCTCTGCCTCTCTCTCTCTCTCTGTGTCAAATAAATAAATAAAATCTTTAAAAAAAAAAAAAAAAAAGAAGAAGCTACACTGTTTCTAAGGCCTGTTTAATTCCAACATTCCCTAATACTTTTTGATGACCCTCAGCTTCTCCCATGTGTAAAAACCCAATGGTTGATGCCTTTAAATAATTTTAGAATAACTGGTGTACATTATGAATAAATTTAGAATTTGGTCCAGAAAAAAAAAATTATGGTTCTTGAACCATTAATTGCCTACAACTTAAAAATAATAGAGCTAACTTCAGTAATGTAGAACAATTATTCTTCTAGTTGGCTCTCTGTTGAGTAGCCTTATAGATAAGAATCATGTTATCTTTCATCTAACCTGTCAATTATTTATTGGATTATTATGCTATTGCTGTATATTAGCTAATGTTAATATCTGGGGAATATAGTTCTTAAGGAGGTCAAGAAACTTGATAAGGAGGATATATAAATAACTATAACAAAAGTGACAGATGTAAGAATAAAGGTCCTCATAAAGTCCGCCCAGGACCCAGAAGATGGAACAATGTCTTTATATCTCCTTAACATGATGCTATCAGGTATTTAAAAAGATTAATTAACAGGAAAATTAAACCAATTATTGTTATTGATTTCCTTTTTTTTTTTTGACACCCTGCCTCTGCTTCCTCCTTCTCAACAACTATTTCTTTTATTATAGATCCTGACTTCATTATATAATTTTATATTGTCCCATATAATAATAATCACACTATGAAAATAATTTTTATGCCTTTAAATTCCTTCTTTCCCTTTTAAGAAATTAATTTTCTTATTTTTTATATTTCTTAATTTTTTTATTTTGAATTCCGAAATACTGTCAATCTCATTTTATAATCTAGATACATAAACTTTATACTTCTGAGAATTGAAGTTCTATTCCTAAAAATTTTGTTGTCGTGCCTGACAATAATAATGGCCCTCTAATAAGATGGCCCAAATTTTGAGTTAAAATTATTTGGGGTTTCTACATTTTAGTAGGTTTTCTCTCCACGTTTGTGTTGATTAGATCTTTCCCTCCTCCTTATCTTTTCCACATGGGTGGAAGATGACAGATCAGGGTTAGAAGTATAATCCACAACTTTGGAGCAAGAACTAACTGGCCTTCAACTGCATAACCAGCATGCTCTAACCTGCAAAGCTGACCAACCTCAAGACTAGCTCAGAACAGATTTTATCAAAACGAGCATTCCCTGTGTCAGACCACCTAACGAAGTTCTCTGAAAATTCTGAGTTAATGCCATGTGTATTACACATGCCTGATCAGAAGAATCACCCAACAACATTTGATTGCTAGACCTCTCCCCTGAAGAGTCAGATTAAGTAGATCAGAGATGGGATCCGAGAATTTTTTTCTTTTAATAAAAATCTAAAATGATCCTAACAACCAGGCAAATTTAAGACAGCTTTAGCATATCAGCAAAAGTCGTTGTCATCTACTAGGTATTTAATTAACTTGCAGACTTTATAATTCACTAATGATTTAATCCAAACCGTGCCTCTTTCTTACAGCAAACACTCAGTGTACTAAAGACATTCCAAGATAAATGATGTGTCCCTTTCTATATGTTCCTTTTTAAGAAAAATCGTTATTGGATAACATAAACAAGGAAGAGTTATTTACCCCAGTGTATACAAATCTGAAGAAAGGAATGGAAACATTATACAAAAAAATGAAAAGAAATAACAAATATGCATTAGCCACAAACTTTAAACTCAACACTAATTAGATATACCCAGAGTTATACTCTCCTGCCCTGACCAACACTCAGTTTGTTGTTTGTAGCTATAACAATTCAGTTCCTTGCAGCTGCCGAGTACCTAAACATTCAAACAAACTTTTCCCAGTACATTTCCATGCATCTAGAACATCCCATTCTCAAATCAGGATCCCTCCATTTCTTACCAGATCAGAATCTTCCTGGGCCTTCAGCCCTCTTATTTTTGGAGACCCAACATCATATTATATCAAACATATTAAAATGATGCCTCAACCAAAAAAAATATAATTTTTCTATAAATATATTTTAAGATTGTTATAATCTGCCTTTTGATATTATTTGGCCACAAAAAACTAATTTAAGTCACAGCTGGCTATGATTTCTCAGTAATTACCATGCATGTTTTAGGATTCTTCAAAAGGGAAAAAAATGTCACCTACAAATTGTTTTCAAATGTAGGAATTTTTTAAATAATAAAACAAAAATTAATGAATAGCAGATATTTTATTGAATAGTAATCTCAATTTTGCAACTTATCTTCCTATTTAGTATCGAATAAAGTTTTTTTTTTTAAGATACCAAACAATTAATAGGCCTCTGAAAAGATCGGAGGCCCTATATCCTTATAGTGCCTAAAATAGCCCTGTCCCATACCCAGTATGAAATAAGTCAACTCATCTAATCTTCCTCCTTTCCTGTTCCATGCCCATTCTAGAAATTCCTCACCTTTGGCGTAAATAAAATAATGCCTCTGATATGAGCAGATTTGATTATCTAAGAAGAACAGGTTTGAGAGAGGACTTTGAGAGTGTCATTTTTGTCCAGAAATGGTGACCAAAATTTTATAGTTTGATCTGGGGGTCTGTTGCTCTTTTCTGAACCTTACAAAACTGTTCTAGATAGGCCCCCCTGCTGTACTGATGTGTCCAGCTGCCCGGCAAAGAAACTCACTCGGAAGTTGAGAACAGCAAGCCAGAATGAATATAATCAGTCATTTAACTTGCTAACTCACTTTCTCAAATGATAGATACATATATTGGTGAACCTGTTAGGACTCTGCTCCTTTGTGCTGATGTGCACAATTTACTTTTTAAAACAAAGCATTGAATATTTCTCCAAGACATCTAAGGGTAACAATTCACTGTCAATATGAACCAATTACCATCTTGGGAAACTAGGAACCAACTAACTCTCAAATCCTGAGTCAGATAAAGAATTTTCTTTTTCTTGCTTTTAGTTTGACAATAACAGTTAGGTCTAGAAATAACAGAGCACACCAGTAAAAGTCTCCTTTCTCAATACGGATGTCTGCGTCAGCAGCATAAACGCTACAATCTTGCATACGATTCTGCTCTGCTAAGATCTGCAGACTTAACTGTGTTTAGGTAGCTCAGATAAGCTTTAAATAAGCATCTAAATTTCTGGGTGCTTATGGAAAATGAACCAAATTCCTCTCCTTTTGAGATTCCCTTATGTCTGATTCTAATGCATTCGTGTAGGAATAACAGGTCTTGCTTTACATACCTAAGCTTACCATTAATATTAAACAACAAATTTAATGCTGTCGGCCACGTTGTACTTCATTCATTCCAGGGAACAAGAATCTTTTGTGTTTATTTTATTTCCAGCTGGTAAAATGTTACGTTATTTGCCTTTTTTTTTTTAAAACAACTGCTGTTTTCCTCTGGGGAATTGAGGCGTTTCATGGAAAAGTGCAATCATGATTCCAAAAGATTGCATGATATAAAAACCATAAAATTGTACATAGTGTCGGGATGTGGTAATGTAACAGCGAGGAGGCTGCTGGGGACAGGCTTTGTTTTCCCGGTCTCTTTAAAATCCAGTGACTGTTTTCATTTGTTCATATATTGGGTTCTTGTTAACATTGATTATATGCTGTTACTGTTTTCTACCTAATTAAATTTGCACGTTGAAAAGTTGAACACCACTAAGAATACTTATTTCCTTACAATTGGTTTGCTTGTTGTAATTAGGATCAACCACCTACCTGGTAAGCATATTTGGTTCATGGGCCCAAAGGACAAGAAGTTTCTCCAGAAGATGTGCTCTGAGTCCTTGGAAAAATTTACCAGTATATGGTCCCCTTTCTAAAAATCAAAAATAAATAAATACACACATACATACATAATAAGGCTGCTGATGGAGTTAAGCTTAGCAACAGCATATAAGAGTTTAAAAGAAATTTTAGTATCAGATTTTTTCATCTGCAATACCTGCTTCTATCCATACCTCCTGTCCTCACAGTTCTTTGAAGGAGGTCTTTTGCCCCCTCCTTCTTAGGTGGGGAAATTCAGGTACAGAGTGGTTAGGTTACCTGTCCAAGATCACACAACTATTCAACAACTGAACTGGGATCTGAATCTCATCTCTGTCATTTAAGACTTTGCTCATCTACTAGTGATGATCTCAAAACATAATAATGTAAACTCATTTATCACAAACTCACTTTCCAGCTTCTGCAGCTCCACCTGGTGTCAAAGTTCACATTTTTTTCTTCTGCCATCAGTGGGCTTAGATCCCTTCAGCTCTTTACTTATGAATATCCTCATCTATAAAATGGGGACATGTGTACCCACTTCCGTGGGCTGCTGAATGATTACATAAGATGATATATGCTGTGCCTACTGGACCATCTAACACACGTTCAGAACTGGTCTCCCCTTGCCCCTTATAACTCTACCCACCATCCACCAAGTAAGAGAAAGTTCGAGTTGCCCTTTTTAATTTTGTTTTTCTTAGTGCACCCTTTCTCAACATCCTCTTGAAGACTAACGGGGAAAGAGAGTTCTTTCCTGATGCAAAGGGATGTCACAGAAATTTAGGAAACTTAAGCTTCTTCTACCAAATTGAAAATTTTCAGACACTTTATTAATTCACTAATTAATTAATAATCACTCTGCTGATTAATAGCTTAATTATGTAAGAGAAAGTATACCTAGCACAGAACAGCCTATTTATGATACAGGATCACTTTTTTAAATATCTCAGCTTATTCTCTAAAAAGATATATTCAAAAATAACCAGTTTTAAAATGTTTCCAACTATGAACTTCACAAAAATTTTTAAGCAGAGATATAAAGTGTTTTTTATATGTTTATGCACACAATAAATTAATAATTCACTACATTTTATTTTTAAGACATTTTGGTTGAATACATTAATTTAAGTTTACTGCTTAATCAACAAGCCAAACAAATGCTACAAGGCACGCTGGGATTCCAGTTTAGAGAGAACACCAGAGCTTTGCTATTTTCAACATCCTCAAGTAATGAAACAACCCCATCAATCATGTCTTGCCTGGCACTTGGGTGATTTACAAAAAAATGCACTTGTATTTGTACATGTATCTGGCCACCCTCCCCCTAAGGAGAGATGTTATCCCTTTCTATGGATTAAGAAACTGAGTCCTACATAGTAGAGGTGAGTGGCTCAAGGTTACACAGGCCAGCTGGTAATTGAAATGAGAATTAAATCAGGTCTTCTGATTCTAAATCCCTCCCTGTTGCCAGCACATACAGTAAAAGTGAAACAAGCAGCCTTAAGACACTCTAAGTAAGACATCAATATTATCATCGACATCTGATATTAATAAGTGAATAATAAATTAATTATTTCACCTTATCAAACAAATAATTCATTAACTCATTGAACGAGTATTGTTATTAAATAATTATTATTATCTTAATAAATTGAATTATTAAAATAACTTTTTAGATTGATAATAAGGGTAATGACTTAAAATAAAAGGAAATTAATGAGCCCTCATCTCTCATTTTTAAATTCTTTCTTTTTCAAAATTTTATCTTAGGAAGTCCAAAAGTTTTGATTCCCTGTGTGAAGTTTCTAGACCTTTTGAAACTGAAAAATTTTCACTGTTAGCCAACTTTGGCTATACTTCAAAAACTTCCCCTCGATTCTCAACCCTGTTATCAACCCACACCATTTTGCCCCTGTAGCTTAAAACTCTAATAACCCTCTCTAACCACGATGCTCTACCTCTCAGCTCCCTCTCCCCTCTTCTTTATTTATTTTTATTTTTATTATTTATTTACTTATTATTTATTTAATTTTGAGAGAGAGACATGGGGGGAGGGGCAGAGGGCGAAGGAGATAGAGAATCTTAAGCAGGCTCCATGCCCAGCGGGCAGCCAGATGCAGGGCTCCATCTCACGACCCAGAGATCATGACCTGAGCCAAAATCAAGAGTCTGACGCTTAACCCACTGAGCCACCCAGGCGCCCCTCCCTGTTTCTTCATTGACACTTCTCTGTTAACTTCATCAAAGCCCTGACCCTTCCATCTTGCTCTGAGACTGTCTACCTTCTTGTTTCTCTCTGCCCTGCCCAACCTCAAGTCCCATTGTTCGTGGGTAATGACCTACTCTCTTATCTCTAGAGCACTCCATTTCTTGTGTCCATCAATTTCTGTTGTGTCTCCCAGGAAAAGAGCAAACTCAAATCAATGATATCTGTCCAGAGAAATAAGCGTCTCTAAAGAAACCACACCAGAATGACTTATTGCCACTCACTACATTTATAATACCCCACCTCAGCAAAGCCTGAAACACCAGCTACCAACACTTTTAGTTGACTGTAATCACCACCCATCTTCATCTCACTTCCTCCAGGTACAGTAGATAATGAGTCCCGCTAAGACTCTTGAATCACACCCGCCCCCCAATTTCCCTGGGATCTTACTCCATGAGCCATCATAAGCATGTCTGAGTCTTTCTCAGCTTGAAGGTAGGTAGTGATAGATGATAGATGATAGATAGATAGATAGATAGATAGACAATAGATAGATTGATAGATGATCAATGGGTAATGGATGAATGGATAGACAGATATCACTCACTGGATTCTCATGCCCTTGGAAATATAGTACAATCTTTCTTCTCATCTTTGCAACAGAACGTTTAAGAGGCACCATACTCTGAAAGACATAGTCTCTATTCCTCATTTTCAAGTCACTTCTTATCCGACTTACAGGGGCTTTTTGTCCCCACTTAAACCTTACTCCAGAAAATCTTCAGTGACTTCCTTAGTTGCCAAATTAGTGGATACTCTTTAATACCATTGCATAATTGACACTGTCGATTATTCCCTGACCTTCTGTGATTTCAAAGATTTTAAGTAACCTCTTTTCTCTCTCTGTTTTTTTGTTGTTGTTGTTGTTCTTCTTCTTCTTTTCCTCTGTTCACTACTGAAACATTTGTGTTTCTCCACGTCCTGTCATCAGCTCACTGGTGAACTCATTTTAAATGCTTTCCCTGATTGACTTCATTCATGCTGGTGTTTTCAACTAGTGCCAATCATCCCAAATATATATTTGTGCTACTGAAGATATGTATGTATGTGTAAGGGTATATATGGAAAAGCACATAGGAGTGGTGTATGTGTGTTGAATGTGTGTCGGTACACACACACCAAAACAAAAACAAAAACCCATAAATACCCACAGATGTCTCCAGTCAGTCCAGCTGTCTTCCCCAAGCTTTGGAATCACATATTTAATTGGCTGCTGATGATCTCTCCCCATGTACCCTATGCAGATGTAAACTCACTGCTTTAAAACTGAATGTATTTTTTCTTCCCAAATCAGTGCTACATCCATTAAGACCCCTAAATTAAAAACCTCAGATTCATCTTCGACTCTTACACTATATATTTCTATTTAAACACAAAGTCATGTTAATTTTATTCAATAAAGATTTTTTCCTCCACTGCCCTAGTCTAGAAACACATCCTGACTCAGTGAGATTACTAAATCTCCAATCCAATTATTGTCTCCAAGTGGTCCATCACCTGGAAAATAGCCAATATGGAAATACCTAGCCCACTTTCCTATCTAAAAATCCTGTGGGGCTCACATACCCTTCAAAGAGCCAAGGCTCATTCTCTGCAACTTCTTTTACCTCATCTCTCCAAAACATATTGAACTCAAGGGCAGATCCAGCTTTGGTGGGGCCTGAGGCACCTATAATTTGGGGAAGGAACCCTCTTTAAGCAAAAGGATTGAAAATTAAAGACAAAAGTAAATATTTATTTCAAATGAAAAAAGAAATCACAACAAATGGTGAAACCTGGACCTGGAGGTCCCTTTCTTAGAGACCTTGCTAAGCAATGAAGCAGAAATGTTTACATAGACATTGTTCTGGATTGCAACCTGGCCAACCTTTCCACCTAAAACCTCCACAACTTCCAGCAACCCCTAGAATTCATCAGGGACTGTTCAAATGAGAGAACCTGAAGACAGAACTTTACTAGCTTTCCAGTAAACTCGGCTCGACTTCCACCTTAAGTCCCAGCAAGCTAAACAATGTTTCAAACACACCCCATCCAGTGTGCTACCTTTTTGCCTTTGTTCACCCATTAAATGCACTTGTCCATCCCAGGCTCTGGACAGCCTCCAACCATCCGTCTTGCCTAAAAAATTTATATTTATGGTTCAACATCTAGCTCCAGTATCACCTGATTCACCCACACCGGGTGACTCCTCTTCTCAGGGCTCTCTTAATTCCCAGTGTAGCTCTCTCCTAATATTTGCAAGGCCCAGGGCAAAAATACAAACAGAAGCCCACTTGCTACGTACCCCAATGTTAAAAAGTTACAAACCAGACTGACAAACTGTTAAAACATATTCTGTCCTTCTGCCCTGAGAAATTTATCTTCTAGATAGTTGAATGCAAGGTTGGAATTCTGGAACTCCTTGCGGTTCTAAGCCAGAACCTCATGCACTGGGAGAGCCGGCCTCAGCCCCACACCACATAGACTTCTCTTCTTAGTCACCTCCCTCCTCAAACTTCCTTCCATGCTGCCGTAGCTTCACATATACACACGTGGACGTCCCCGCCCCATCCCAGCTCCATCTACTACCCTGCAAACGGCTACCGCAGGACCATCCCTCAGGCCAAGGTGTGCGCATGCGTAGCAGGGCACAGTCCCGGAAATGTACTCAGGACAAAGGACAGCGCAGAGAATTTCAAGTCCAATGCATGGTCTAGACAGAGAGACAAACTCTGGTTGATTACATTCCCTTGGCTCTCCAAACTCCCTAACCTACGGGAAGGCGCTTAGCCAAAGCAGAAACCGGAGTGGGGCTTTCTAAAGCACACGGGCCAGGGCTGGAGCCCCTCTTGCCTGAGTCTAAGGCAGGTACTGTTTATATGAATGATGGATACGTCTCCCCGTTAGACTGTGAGCTCTTTATGAGCAAAGGCTGCTTCTTAATCCATTGTTGCCAGGAAATTATAAATGGCTGAAAATCAGTGACTGAATAAATGAATAAAAGAAGGAAGAACAGCGTACATCTGGGCCTGGAAAGCCTATAAAATCATGATTCTTGGGATGTTTTTGTTCCACATAACTATCTCCACCAAGCTTCCTCACTGATCTCCACATTCTGTTCACAGAGAAAACACCTTCCCAGCAAGAAGCACGGCTTCTTTAAGTGCAGTGCACTAGGATGATAATTAAAAATATAGTGATTTAAAAAATCTAGATGGTGCTCAGCGATACGCCTTTTTACAAGCTTGTAATGAGTCTCCCGTGCACTGACCAGGATTTGAAAATACAAATACTGGTTGAGGCAACACCAAGAACCATCTTCAAAATGAAGTTCAATTGTCTCTCAGTCAATAAATATAATTGCCTGGTAGCAGATTCCTCCCTGACTCAGCAGTGAGAGTCTGCCTGACCGGGTGCTTAAAGGACAGGGGAGGGAAGGATGGGAAAAGGTAAAAACAGGAGCTAATAAAGCCAAAGATCTTAAAAAAAAAAAAAAATGAGTGCAGTGTACCTAACACACTAGCTGGTACAAAGTAACTGTGTAATATGCGGTGGAGTAAAAGAGCGAAATGACTTTCAAAAGGCTCTGAGTTCCATTCCGTGTTGACCCTGTTTCTCTTCAGCTGGGCAAAAGGCAAATAGAAACCATGCAGTGAGATATTTTTGTCATACACAGCTGCAATTTCTGCTATCACATCTCAAAAACTTCAAGGAGAGTTTTTAAAAACATGTTATTGCTATGAAAGAATTTTGTTCCCAGAGAATTCGTTAATCCAAGTATCACTGGGAGCTCTGTACAGAGTCTGTGATGTTTCCTTCATTAAGTTACAGAGAAGCGGGTTGCAGTACTGTGTGACAGAGTAGAAAAGGGACATTGGCATCCAAATCTGACTTTGAAGACCATCTTAGACCTTGGAAAAGTTACTTAATTTACCTTTGCTTTCATTTTCTCAACTCTAAAATGTAGCTTAGAATAAAATTGTCTGTTTCCCAGAGCTGTTCTTTGAGGTTTAAATATAGTGGTTTCTGTGAGGCACTGTGAAGGTGTTTGATAAATGTAAATGAATTGTATCTAAAATATAGGAATGCCTGGGTGGCTCAATCAGTTAAGCATCTGCCTTCGGCTCAGGTCATGATCTTAGGGTCCTGGGATCAAGTCCCACATCAGGCTCTCTGCTCAGCGGGGAGTCTGCTTCTCCTTCTCCCTCTCCCTTTGTGCTCTCTCTCTCTCTCTCAAATAAATAAATAAAATCATAAAATAAAATAAAATAAAACCAGTAGTCATTTGTACAGTACATCACCCAGGACAAAGACACATTAAATCAACAATTGCCAACTTGACTTTCTAGTCAACAATCAACTGGGTTTTCATGTATTGGTGTGAAAGTTCCTCCCACAAGGTATACTTGTTTAATCATGATGTACTTCTTAATAAGTCTTACTTTGCTAGTCCGTAAAACCCTGAATTTCTCACATAAAATTGAGTACATGTACTATTTACTCATATGTCAGACTGCTTCAATTAATTGGCATAAATTATCACATTTAATTGTACATACCAAAAGCAATAAATAAATGCCTGTCTAAACTGGACTTAATTTGGACTTTGATTTGCTTTTGACCTAACTGATTTTCTTCACTAATATTAACATTATTTGCTAGGCTCCTATTAGATATCGAATGAATCTGTTCTTCTGAATTTAGATTTTGCATGAAGAATACTGAGTGAGTCCAGTAGTCCGAATAACAACCCAGTAATTGAATTGTCCTATGTTCTTTTAAAATAATTCTCAAACCAAAAACTAAAATATGAGACGTGGGAAACTTCACACAACTGTATTTTCAAAAATTGCCTGAAAATTTGTGACAGTTGTCTTCACATATAAAAGCAATTTTCATAATGCCGGGGTTGCCATTAATGATGATACATTGTCAGGGGCCTCAATGAATTTAACATCAGAGCTTTTGGCTGACTTTTGAAATTCTTGTTCATACCTTTATTAACATTCCATACGTCTTCTCAGTTTCCTCAGACTCCAGACCTGGAAATGGCTTCTTACTCCTCTGTGTGTCATAAAATGCACCTAAACTTGGAACTTAATGAAAGAGGACAATAAACTAGAGATCTAGAAGCACAGGCTGACTCCTAGATTTACTTCTAGCTCCAAATAATAATTAACCCTTTCTGACAATATTTTTAAAGATATTATATTAAAATTGCAACCATTTATGTTTGTATAACAATATTTTGCATTTCACAATATTTTAATAACTAACACATCTAATTCAAGCCAAAATAACCCACAAAAAACAAAACCCCAAAACTCATGAGTAAATCAATGAGAATTTCCGTCCCTGTTTTTCAAGAAGCACTAACAATAACAGGTACTGACAACAGGTTTTTCCTCACTGTCCACACAGGTTTTGATTTATGGCTCATATAACTGGCCTTGTGCTTTATGTCTTGATTCCTAGATGGTTAAATCTTTACCTCAGCTGGAAAAGTCCATTCTATAGGTTTTCACCCCTGGAGTGGTCTGGCTGTTGGTGTTATTTCTCAGGAGAGTTGTGTCAAATTATTGGAAACCATTAAATTAAATGATGTTTAAGTACCTTCAAATTATTTAGACAGTCAGCTCTATATAAATATGAGACATTGTCGATTCTTATCTTCTTAAAGGCATCTTCTATGGGCAAAGATAAGAGGAGAAATATTTCTACTATAATCTCCTTAAAAATTACAGAGTCAATGCAGCTGGAAATGTCCCATAACTCCCTCCACTTTTTTATACCATCAAAGTGTCAAGAGCAAAGACTGAGGTGGCTCCTTTGGCATCCATAATTGTGTGTCAGTTAAAGAGCTATGATTTCTGCCCTTTCAATTAAAAGTTTATTTTTCTTTGTTGTTGTTGTTGTTGTTGTTAAAGGTATCCCAAAAAATAATAACTGTAAGCAACATAGAGTGTAGTATTTCTGTGAAGTGATTCAGGAATCTTGACTATAGAGTCCCAGGAAATGCTGGGTTAAATTATCCTGGTCCATTATTAATCCC